ATGTTTATTCCTTTCTCCCAATCCTATCATTGTGTTCTTGCAGCTGTGTGACATGAGTGATGCAGTTTTGGATACATGTGAGGGGCTGTTCAGGGTAAGCTGGCCCCGGCCTCGCCTCCTCTCTACTTGCGCTAGCTCGCAGGCCAGCTGCTGGCTGCCCCAGCTCCCTCCACTCTGCATGGAGCTCCAACCGACCCTCGGCTACTGCGCTCTTTCTGCCTCCCTCAGCCTCTGCAGGAACCATCTGGCCCTTGAGCTGATTTGGCTTTTCGAAATCACTATTTTTGTTTTATGTTTTTTCATTGGGAGGAGCCAGGGGAGAAAACTAGCAAACGAACTAAGCTCTTTATTCCCCCACCTTCTCCTTCACCAGAACCACCCAATTTTGGCTCCTCATTCCCTCTCCCTTTAGTTTAGAACTCGGGTGGGTACCAGATCTGTTCTTCATATATCCGATTTGTAACTTTTGACAACTGGCTGAAGGCTTATGTGCTCAGTGCTCCAGTAAGGTTCACCTTGTAGATCTTTGCTCCGTAAAGTGTCCTTGTGGGAGGACATGCTGGTGCAGGCAGACACAAAAACCCCACTGGTTCCCCCAAGTCCTCAGGACGGGGACTGTTCTAGCAGCAGCTCAATTGTGCCCATATAGATCTCCAGAAACTTTAACCTTTGTCTTCCTCTGGGCTGAGAAGTGGCAAATGCTGAGGGAGGACCCATGGTCGTAGATTTCGTACCTGAGCCTCCCCCATATCCCCAGTGTGTATGGCCAGCTCAGCCCTCTCCATCCAACTCAATAACATATTTTGGGAGCACATATACCAGTTTCCGCCGCCTGGTCTTCTATCAACAGAGACAAGAGCGTGAAAGACACCAGAAGTAAAGAGGTGTGTGTGTCTCAGGGAGTGGTCAGAATGAATGAGGAAAGGGCTTTGCCCAGTGTTTGCCCTCCAGGCCATGAGGGGTGCTCCCTCTCAGTGCAACTTCTGCACAGAGCAGCCTCAGGCAGGAGGGCAGCAGCATTTAACAGAGGGGTCTCTAACAGACACTTCTGGAGCTGCCTCCAAAACAGGAACTCAGTCTCCCTCCTCCTGCGAATGTCAGTGAGTGCTTTCCCTAGATCCTGTTCCCCTGCTGCAGGAATTGCCTTCTCTCCCTCAGGGGCCTCTTTAAGGCCGCTGGGAGATATCAGTGACAGCTGACATCAAGTGCCTCTTCTGGGCTGGGCACACTTTAGTCACTTTTTTGATATTGTGTTTAAACTCATCATCATCCTTTATTATTCATGTTTGACTGCTTAGGACACTGAAGCACAGGGAAGGTAAGGAAACTTGGGGGTGAGAAGAGGGAGAAGGTGCTTTTGTCCTGGACTGTACATGTTTGTATGTCTTTTAGGACAGTGTCCAAGTGTGTGTCTGCACACTCAAGTAGGGTATTTCTCAGACTAAACATTTGTTTAAAAATAAAAACCACCCTCCCAGGGATGGCCCAGAGCTACTCCCATTCTAGGTCCATCTCCTTTGTTGCCCCTGACCTAAGTTGACCAGCCAGGCTGAGTGAAGGCCAGGAACTAAACAAGTGAGGAGGGGGACTAAGGGGTTCTTTGTCCCAGTGAGTAGCCCATAGAGAAGCCTGGTGGAGGGGCTGTACCCCCAAACCTCACCTCCCAGTATGGTATGTCAGCCAGGAACCTGGCATATGCTCAGCTGCTGGCTCTCAGACTTCCAAATTGTCCTTGCCAACCCCCAGAAGTCCTGAGCTCCACAGGTGCTGACCCTGGTCACTTCAGGAGAAGGGTGATCATGCTTTCTAGTCATCTCTCCCCAGGAATAAATGATCTTGTCATGCTTCCAACAGAGATGTAACCTTGAGGAGGGTACTGTGGGACCTGGGCAAAGTCGCTAGAGGTGACACAGCCTCCCTAGTGCTGAGGCTAGCAGGCATGAGTTCTCCTGTGACCAGGGAGCAAACGGTTAGCTATAGCTACCACCAGGGTCCCAAGACCCTGTGCCTCTATCACAGTGCAGCTGTTCTCAGAGGCAGGACACCATCCCAGGTTGCCCCACTCATTCACAGAAATGGAAGATGGAATATTTTCCCATTGTCCCCTGACCATGCAGACTCCAGGGCACTAAGTGCAGCCCTGAAATTCTCAAAATGATGTTATTGAGAACTACCCAGAAAGCATCCTTCTCATCCAGGGTTGAGCTGGGGGTTTAGGTATCACCTGGCTGAGCAAGATGTAGCCGTTCTCTGACATGGCACAATCAGTTGCCTTATTCTTCCAAGCTTACCAGGTAGAAGCCAAGCAGGTCTCACCCTAAACCGACCCTACAGTAAAAGATTTCAACCAACATCTGAATACTCTGTCCCTAAAACAAGCAAACCACTGCTGTCTAGTGCTGTGTTCGCTTGCAATGAGCATATTCTTAGCTGGATACCTCTGTTCACCAACCTCTCTCTCTGCCAATTTCCAGATCTTGTCCACTTTGATATCCCCTCTATCCACGTAGAGCTCGGGTCCACACTCCGCCTGAGCCCCCTGGAGCACATGCGGCGACACTCAGTGACTGAGAAAAGGGACTCCGAGGAGGAGTCCGAGAGCACCGCCCTCTGACATGGCCTTTCCCACCCACCTGACCCAACCTGTGTACATACCTGTGCCCAGACGCTCACTACCAGGAGTGCTGTGAGCGTGCTGTGTCCTGTTGGCTCCTTGTCATCATTGACAACACAAGGCTGGATAATTACAGAGATCTGTGACATCCGGCCCAGGTAGTGCATGGTGGTGGTGCAGATTTTGTTTGTTCCTTTCAGGTGGTTAGTTATTTGGGCCTTTTGTTTGATCTTTGCCTTTTGACTTTGTGCCTCTCTTGATCCACTCTCAGCCTCCATTGTCAAGCAGAATCCACCTCTCACCCAAGGGAGAGAATGGTTGTTGGAATGGTCCTTTGCAGGGCAGGGGTGCTGAGGGTGAATGGTTGTTTAGACCTGGGGGCTGCTACCTTCCTTTTGACAATGTTCATTCCTGTAATTTCAGCTTCATGACCCTATCTTATAGGGGGATTCTGGACATCCTGGGGGACTGACCTTTTCCTGCTGCTTTGGGGAATGGCCAGTGACGTTATGGCTGCCCTCAGTCACAGGGCTCAAAAGTAAACTGCTTAAAACCAAGTGTTCCATTTCCTAGTAGCTTTTATTTATGTGACTGGAAGCTCCTTTTATTCCATGTTGTTTTATACTTCTGGATTTAAAAAATGATCCTGAGGCTGTCAGTAGGGCCCAAAGATAGTTTGGCCCCCCAGAAAATATTCAACATCTGGAAGGAACTTTGGGCCCCAGGCACCCAGGGCTTACCAAGAATGTGGGGCCAGGAGCCTGGTTCTTCTTTCTGGAGGTTACAAGTGAATAGCAATAATTCTGTTGCCCAGACCATATTGACGAGAGGCAGCCAGCCCAGGGAGCACCAGCATCCGCCACTCATCCCCTCATGACGTCCCATCCACAGGAGGGCCTGGGAAGGTACTGGGGAGCCTGTTCACACTTGGGGATTAAGAGAGTAAGAACCAGATCTGGATCATGCATGCAAAATCGAACTTTACAGTTTTGTCCTTTTAATATAGATATACCTATACATGATAAAATATTTGTATATATGAAATCTCTCTATATTTGTTTAATTTGAGCCATTCAATCTAAACCAATGTACAGCTGTACAATGAAAATTTAAAGGCTTTGTTATTTTTCCCAACATGGTGTACAATCACCCTTCTTGGACAGTGGGATTTGCAAAATTCTGATGTCACAGCTTTGCTCACTTCCTGGCAAGGGCGGTTCAGGCCCCAATTTGTAATGGAGCCCAGGGGTTGAAAGTTACCTTTAAATACATGTACAAATAGCTGTCAAAAGTTATGTTATTAAAATAGATTTATTATCCCTGAGCATGGCTTTTCTTGTTTCAGTAACAGACATGTGGGGACACAGGAATAAATCTCAGATGCTACAACATCAGGAGGGAACCCTGAGAGTCACCACCAAAAAGACTGGGTTCTTGGTCTTAAGTCTTTCTCTTTTACCACAGGAGTTTTTAAAGCTCTTTCTATATTCCCCTGGGCAGGGAGAATACACTAATTACTAGCTAGATACTGAAAATTATTATCTTAATTTCAAGCCTTTGTCTTAAAGGAGCCAGCTTAATGCAGTATTTCTGAGTACTCACAGGGACAAACAGTGACTCTTTCTCACCCCGGGGCAAGAGCGAGCTAGTCCATTGTCTCCCTGTCATCCTTGGAACCAGCGGGAAGATGAGGCTCCTCCATCAATTGCATCATCATCAGCCACCCAGTGCTCCCACATGGCGTGTGAAACCTCACCCTGCTCAGCGTCAGTCCAGCTAAATTCTGTCAAACACTAGGCTAGTGAGGGTGGTGGCCCCCACAGAATAGGTTCCCAGAGGTCTCCTCTCTGGTTAGAGCTGGTCTCCAGTGCACACTTGGACAGCAGTGACTGTAACATGGAGAGGGGTCACCAGGGTGACATATGCAGGACCATGTGAAAAATGCAGGGTTCCAAACGGAATCTTTATTGAGTTCAAGTGTCTTTGGAAAAACTTCCTTGAGTCTTCGACATTGAGAGTTCATTTCCAAAACCTATGGTTCCCTATGGCTGCGTGTCTTCAGAGCTCAGAGGGAACACCTTCATTGGAGCAGGAGAAGGTGTGCTGCTCCGTTTTCCATGACTTTTTAAAAGTCAGCTTGCAAGGGGATTAGTTACACTTGCTGTCTACACTAAATGGCCTCCATGCCCACAGCTTCTGCAGGTTCTAAAAGGGCTCTGGCAGACAAGTCTTTGTTTGGGAGCTGGGCCCAGGCCCAGCTTTACCCCATCTACTCCTGAGTGCCCTCCTCACTGAACTTCTCTCTGCCTCAGGCAAGGAGAGAAGATGCTGGCACCCATTCACGAGGAGAAGACACACAGCCTGAAGAGCAGGTCATGCTGACTCCTCACTTGGCCCTGGCCTTCTTGCTCTTTGGACTTGGAGGCTGATCCCCAGATGCCCTCTTATGCGAAGTTTCTCCAGAGAGCAGGGCCGCCCTTACCAGCCGCAGCTCCCGCTTCTCCCTGCGTTCCTCCATCTCCTCAAGGTCACCAGCAAATAGGGCTTTAAGTGGGGGGATCAGCTTGGGCACCGTAGGAAAGTCTCTAAAGCAGACCTAGAAAGGAAGGAAGACGTGAGGACACCTGAGAGGGAAGAACTATGAGTGACAAAATGATATGCTCACACAGCACCAACTCTCCTTCTTCACAAGCTCTCCAGTCAGCCCATCACAACTCTGAAAAAGTGCCATAGTGAGAGGCAGTGAGCCTCTAAAGAAAGGAGTTAGTGATGTCCCCTCTTGGGTAAGAGGAGCCAGCCATACTGGATCCCTGGGAAAGGCAATCCACACTTTTAATATCAATTTTTTAAATCCCAAAACAAACCTTACTTATGTTTTGTCCCTTTATTACAGAAGACCTGAGGGTAAGTTCTGGTTTCACCATTCACAAGAGGAGAGAATGCCTACCGTCCCCCAGGCTCAAGGTGAGGTTCAAATGATTTTGTGAATGAACTAGCCCTAGCATAGTCTAATCCCCAGTGGATCTGACTGAGCCAATTTCTGAAAGGCCCCTGTAGCAGAAGACTTCACCCATCAGTGTGACTGGGTGTGAATCATTGGGTAAGATATATCTTTTTATATGGGTGGCCCCCAAACACAAGGGGAGACTGCACCCCAACCACCCTGTGCAGTATATGCCATCCCATCTCTCCACCCAGTTCCCCCACAACACAACCCATGGCAGACCTTCATGTGGTCAAAAGCAATTCCAACTTTCTCATTAAAGTCAGGACTGAAGAGGGGTATCTTGGCATAACGCTGACTGAAGTGGTTCAGCATGACAAATTCAGCATTCATCTGCATTCCCACACCAATAGCTTGAGAAGTCGTGCTGCAAAGGAATGAGACTGAAACTGAACCCAAGACAAGACTCTGAAGTGGAGAACCAGCACAGACCTGACCCTCGAACTCCACTCAAAACGCCCAAGGGAGGCCAGCAAGTGTCCTCCTTAGCTAGTACAAACTCTTGAGGGCCAGACTCCACAAAGTCCTCTACATCACGCCCACATGCCTTAGAGCTGGTCATCCTATGGTGCTAGCTGTGAGCAAGGGCATCTGAGATAAAGCACAGGGCTGCTTACTTGGGGTAGCGCATGCTTTTGTTAAAATACTAGACCAAGATCCAGCTCCACTGCCTTCTAGCCCTCTCCCCCACTTCCTCTGGCAATTCCTTGACCTATTTTGTAGTTTATTCCAGCTTATTTCCAACTCTTTATCCCTCATCCTAGAACCTACAGCATACTGCAAAAATAAAGGCAGAGTATCCATAGGAGAAATGCCTCAGCCCTTGGCTAGGAAGCAGACCAGCTACTTGTTGGGTGGCACAGTCTTTCCCAAAGGGGCAATGGAGGGCTCCTCCTAGTTCCACATAGTAGAACTGGGTGAGGGCTTGGGGGAAGAGTGGGTGATAAGGGGAACAAGAAGGCCTTTATTACCTGTGTGTCTTTTCCACCGCTTCCTCTTCTAAACCATCTTCCAAAGTGGCCTCATGTATGAGAAGGGTGGCATCTTTCCCTAGAGAATAAACACAGGCATCAGAAAAGAGCCTTATGCCTGAAAAGCACATGTCCCTGGGTTTACACAACGGTTTCTTGTCCAAACACTGGGTTTCCTATGTCCTGTAACTTGTCTGCATGTTATGCTGACAACTAGAGATTATTAGAGTGGGGACCATAATTTGCTGCCTTTGTTGACCTTTATCTACAAACTAACCTACATGCACCTATAGTAACGCAAACTCCAAAGCGACCTCTACTCACCCATCTGGATCAGAGCATCACAGGGCATAGTGTCCCCTGAATAGACCACTTTCCAGCCAGATGTGTGCACCAGTGCACAGCCAAATGCATGCTTGCAGTGCCGAACCAGGCAGGTCTGGAACTAGAGAGGCAGGGTGAAGGTGCTGCAGCTCTGCCCTTACATCAACCTCCTCAGTCCCCACGTTGCCCTTTTTACCTCTTCCAAATCACACATTCCCAACAGTGAGCTGATGAGTTTTTCAATGAGGGGATTGGAGACCTCAGCCCCCTTCTGAAGGCATTTGGCAGGAATCAAACTATAAGAAGATTAAACATAAAAAAATTAATACCTAGAATCAAAAGTTTAAGTCTCTCACTGGAGAGCCCCAGAATCATTCTTATTCGAAGAATCACAGTCACTAAGAAGGAAAGAGTACTCAAAATAACCCAGACCAAAATTGCTAGGACACTGCAAGAGACCTAACAGGTAAGTGCTGCTCATAGCTGAGGTCACAGAAGGCCCTTTTTCAAGCAGTTCAGATAACTCCAGATAAATGGGCTGCCTTTCCCTTAAACTTCCTCTTCATCCACCCAGAATGGACAGTGTCAGTGCTAGTTATTATCCAAGTGTTCAGCCCCGGGCCATTTCATGGAGAAATGCTGACAAAGCAACAAGTACAGATTGGAAATAAGGGTTGAGAAGAAATGTTTCAAAGAAAACAAACACTTAAGTGAGAACCATCTGATCGTTTCTACTTTTGAGTCAAAGCATTTACCTCTTCTCTGCATTTTGGGTGGAAGGTACACTTGCAGGGGGACAGGATGTACTACCCCAGAATCAACCTTGAGCATGCTAAGAGGGGGAGGCAGAAGATGACAGCCTCGGTGGTCAGGCCCACCCAAACACTCACTTGACATGATGTAAAATCTCCTGGCACTTGTCATGGTACTGCTGGAGCCAGACCCTGAGCTGGGTGGGGGCAACCACCAACAAAGGGTACAATGGCTTTCCTAGTGATGCCTGAAACAAAGGAATCAGAGCATCAAATCAACTGCAAAACACTTCAAGAAAATAAGTTTAGAATAGCAGGAGGTAATGGGGATTATGTGTAAAACAATGAAACTCAGAATGCCAATAAAATCAAAAGCCACTCACCAAAGCTCGTTCTCGCTGCAGAAGGATATTTAATAAGCCCTGGGAAGTAAAAAGGAAACATGGGTTAGCCACATTCAAATTCTATTTCCTTCCCCCTTCTGATCTGGAGTCGGAATCTCACAATAGTTTCCAGCTTTCAATCAACCACTGTCCCTCTTATACAGCCATAGTGGGGTCTGGCTTGTGTGGACCTATCAGTCCGAAAAAGAACAGGCAGAAAGCAATGTGATCAGTGTTGGAAAAGGAGGGAGACCAAGATAAGGACTGCTGTCAGCCAAGATAAGCTACTCTACTGATGGCTCACAGCCAAGTCTCCAACCCCAGGTCAAAGTTACACTGGTGAACTTCAGGCTGTGGGAGAAAAGATTCAAGAAAAGCTGGGTGAAGGTAAAACCCAATCTACTGCATGAAAACAAGAAACATTTTAACTGAGCAAAATGATTCTTGGGGTTTTGTAAAAGACCATTTCCTAGTGAGATGCAAAACCAAAACTTCAGTCAACTTTGGATCTAGGAGAAAATGGAGAGCCCAGGAAAGCTTAGGTAAATGAAGCTGCCCAGCTTCCAGGGCAGAGCTCCAGGCTTTGGCCCAGCACTCACCGTGTGGTGGTCTGCATGCAGGTGGGACACAAACACAGCAGCCAATGAGCCCAGGACCCTGTCCACTTCATCACCATAGTGACGGCACAACTGCCCAAACGTGCCTTCACCACAGTCCAGTAGCAGAGACTGGTCAGGGCTACAGAGAAAAGAGTGACAGATTCACTACCAACAGGAAAGGGCTCATCTAGCATTTCTTACCATTGCAGAAGGGTTTTTATTCTAGGACAGGAAGGAGCTGTGGTAATTTCTATGTCTTCCATAACCTTGTTCATGCTTTTTCTTCAAGAAACTTACCTGAAAGCAACCATAAAGGCAGTTCTGGTGGCCAAGTGCCTAAGGCATTTGACTGGAACCAAAAAGCTGGTGGTTCAAAACCACCAGCCACTCCTCGGAAGGAAGGTTGGGCAATCTACTTCCATAGAGGTAACACCTTGGAAACTCAAGGAGGGGTCGCTATGAGTTGTATCTAACTCAACGGCAGTGAGCTTGGTTTTGGTTTTTATCTTCTTTATATGAAAGAATTATCCATAATGGAACCCTATAATCCTTTAAGGTTGTCGTTAGGTGCCAGTGAGTTGGTTTTGACTTGTAGTGATCCTATGTACAACAGAAGGAAACACTGCCCGGGCCTGTGCCATCCTCACAATTGTTGCTATGCTTGAGCCCACTGTTGGAACCACTGTGTCAGTTCATCTTGTTGAGGACCTTCCCCTTTCTCACTGACTTGGCACTTTACCAAGCATGATGTCCTTCTCCAGGGACTGATCCCTTCTGATAAGACCAAAGTACAAGCAATGAAGTCTGGCCATACTTATTTTTAAGGAGCATTCTGGCTGTACTTCTTCCAAGGTGGATTTATTCATTCCTCTGGTACCCCATGGTATATTCAATATTCCTCGCCAACGCCGTAATTGAAATGCATCAATTCTGCAGTCTTCTTTGTTTGTTGTCCAGCTTTCCCATGCATATGAAGTAACTAAAAAGACAACAGCTTGGGTCAGGCACAAGTTAGTCTTTAGGTCATTTGCAGCAATTTGCCCAATGCAATATGTCATTTGATTTCTTGACTGCTGCTTCCATGGGTGTTGACTGTGGATCCAAGTAAAATTAAATCCCTGACAACTTCAATCTTTTCTCCATTTATCATGATGTTGCTTACTGGTCCAGGTAAGAGGACTTCTGTTTTCTGTTGAGTTGTAATCCATACTGAAGGCTGTAGTCTTTGACCTTCACCAATAAATGCTTCAAGTCCTCTTCACTTTCAGCAAGCAAGTTTGTCTCCTGCATGTTGTAGATTGTTATTAAGTCTTCCTCCAATCCTGATGCCACATTCTTGAGTAAGTATGATGAAAGGATAAACCCTGACACACACCCTTCCTGATTTTACACTATGCAGGACCCCCTTGTTCTGTTTAAAAGACTACCTCTTGGTCTATATACAGGTTCCTTGTGAGCACAATTAAGTGTTCAGGAATTCCCATTATTCACAGTGTTATCCATAATTTGTTATGATCCACACAGTCAAATGCCTCTACATAGTCAATAAACACAGATAAACATCTTTCTCGTATTCTTTGCTTTCAGCCAAAATCTATCTGACATCACCAACAGTGATCCTTTAAGGTATATACAGCTAAATGCAAAAATACAAAAAAAGTTTGTGGTGGAATTGGAGGTCAAAAACATGTCATTGTAACAGTGCACTTCTGGTTATTTAAATGGAGTGTGGCAAACCCTCTGTTGACAATACTAGAGAGATGCATTATGCACAGGGAACCTTCTTTGAGGTGTTCCAATTCCTTCTTCAGGGTGTTCTCAGAGCTCCTCTGTGGTAGGCCTGGCTGCATCATGCCTGGGTGCCAATGAGTTCCTGATTTAGTTGGTCTCAGGCAGGGCTCAGAGGTCTCCGCTCCTGACAAGATCCTCAGGCCATTCCGATGCTCTGCCCAGTTTAGAATCTCTGCTGAGATGGACACAATCATTCCAAACCCTTCAGGCATGTCCTTCCTTAGGGGTGCCCTGGAGACTGGAAGAGGCAAGGCCTCATCCACTTTTCAGAGAGATGTCTCAGAGTATAGGATGCACCACAGTATCGAAAGCAAGCCATTAACAGCACCTGCAGGTTAACTTCAGTGGGCTCAACAGGTCAGTCTCAGGGTGTCAGCGTCAGCAACCAAAGAAGACTCTCCACCCTGTGAGGCCGGTCCACCTACAGATGCTTTGCTAACTTCTTCAGTTGTGAGGGAAGCACGCCCTGTGTTCTATTTCTGATATCTGGATGTAGCTTCCAATCACTGTGCACATGTAATGCATTATTTGGATGTTTACCACCTACCACTAGCATCAAAGATAACAAAACCAAATTTAAAAACTAAGCTGGTATTTCACAATTTCACTTTCTTAATGGATATACCTGAAGAGGCACCCCGTGCATTTCAAAATGCCTTTGATTAACCTCTTTCCAGATAAACAACACCAGATAAAGCCAAAAGGATCAACTAAGAAAGCATGTAAGGAGAATACCCTAAGAAGGCTGAATACAAAACAAAGTAAATGTGGAAAGCCAAAAGGTTTTTTTAACGTATAGCAATAACTAATTAGAGGGACAAGACTGTAACAATTAAGATAGACCAGTTCAGACTTTGCACCTGGCACTGCCAGCTGTGGGAACTAGAGTAAGCAAGCACATTGAGCGTTAGTTTACTCACTGACAAAATAGCTAGTTATTCACTACTTCATAGGATTAGTGTGAAACTGTCTTAGCATGGTACCTGGCATATAGTAGGTATCCAATGAATATTAGCTATTTTTACTAAAAGACATAATAGATGAAAAATTTTACTGATTCCTAGAAGTCTAAGTTAGCAGTTGAGCCTATAAAATGTGTCAACAGCTACAATTTCTCCACCAGGGCACTAGCCAAGATGCTAAGCTTACAGTTCCATTTTCAAATTACCCTGGTAGGTGGGGGCAGGATTTTTGTTTAAGACATAAGCATGCTCCTTGATGAGTGGATGTTTTCTGGAAGAGCAGTATTACCTTATGTTGACAAGTGTGGAGCTGACGTTTCGGATCTTCATTGGGATAGCAGACCCTGTTCCAAGGAAGACTATTTCTGGATACTGGCTTCTTTTCTCTATGGAAAAACACAAGTAAACAGTCTGTTTCCAGTCATAACTGAGCCAGCTTTCAGCCATGAGATGGGTACAGTGAAAGGCAGCCTGAAGCAGTAAAGTCCACCTTCTCAAGAGGGGTGCTCTGGCTTCAGGTATTGGAGAGTAATAGGAGATGGAACGACTATCCTGGGACTCTCTCACGAGGACTTCCTCCTCCAGGTTAGAGGCCACCCTTACTATGAATAATGGGCTATCTGGGGAGGAGAACTGAATTCCGCAGTCCTTGCTTCAAAAGAATTGCTCTATCTAATGCTTTGAAATTTTCAAAAAGGAGAACTTCTTTACTTCATGGGGTGGGATCAGTTAGTGTCCAGCTCTGACTACACTTCATGTGTTGTCCTCTGTATAATCCTTCTAGCAGTCCTACCAGGTAAGTAAGGTCCCATTTTACAGGTGAGAAAACAGGCTCAGAGGGCCAGGTCTTTCCTGAGCCACAGATGTAGTAATGGATAGAGTCAGGACTCCAATTCAGACAGATCTGTTGCTTCCAAAGCCTGCATCCTTTTGGGGTTCACACTGCCTGAGTGGCCCCATGGGCACATTTGCAAGCGTACTGTGAGCTCAATGGATCTTTCAGATACACAAAGGAAATACACCAGGGAAGTCTTTCCATAACATATACAGGAAAGCTATCCCAGAAGGAGGTGAAGATTTAGCAACCACTGCTGGGACCTAGAACTAACACTGCCTGGTTCTGATTTCCAAGGAGAGATGGAAGAAGTCTGTTGAAGTATCATTTAGCTAGATCAAACTCCCAACCTGCTTTCTATTCTAGTTTTCTTGTTGAAAAATAACACTAGAAAAGCCAACTACAAAAGCAGAGGTCAGGAAGTTCCTCTAATGACTTTTCCTGATGGGGCCCTTAAAGCCCAACAAGGTAAGAGACTTGGCCAGTATCTTCCTTGGATACTTATCAGCAAATCCAAGAGTAGATCTGAGCTCCTGGCCAACCTTCTTTCCCAGTTGCAGGGGAGATCCCACAACTCTCACTCAGAGTGTACCTCATAAAGAATGCCTGGGTGCTAGCAGTAAATATTCAGATCCAATTGGTCTAGGGTGGGGGCAGGCACCAGCATGTTTTAAAGCTTCTTCCCTCCACCATGGGTCATCCTAATGTACAGCCAAAGCAGAGAAACACTGTACTAAATCATTAATCAGAGTAGAACATGCCTTATAGGACTCTACTTAATATTATGAAAACCCCTGCAGGAGGGCAGACAGAGCCAGAGAAGGGAGTGTTGGTGGGTTTTCACTCACCTGCTGGGGCAGGCCCATCTTGTACACTCTTCTTGTATTCCTGCACGCTCTCCTGGAAATTGGGGAGCTCCAGGGCCTCGGCTATGAATTCATCAGGATTACAAGTAAGTACTGCATCCCTGCAGGAAGAAAGGATCTCAAGTGGCCAAGGTGGTGGGGTTTCTCAAGCAAAAACCAAGTCAGATCCTGAATAAATTCACAGATACAATCTGCAGAAAGCAGTTGTTTTTTTTTTTTTTAAATTCTGGGCAGTGTTTTGTTCTGTTCAGAAAGCAATTCTTGAGCAATTCTGTTCTATTGCCTTTTAGAACCTTTCTCAGCTAAGTAGTGAGTTTCAGAACAAGTTCTGTATAACTCTAGCTCAGACTACCTGTCAGTCTCAAAGCCTGACAACTAGGGGACAGTTTTGCTACTCTACAGCAGGGCTTCTCAACCTCAGCACTAATGAGGTTGGAGGCTGGGTAATTCTTTGTTGTGGGGGCTGTACTGTACACTGTAGGATGTTCAGCAGCAGCCTAGGCTTCTACTCTAGTACTGGTACTCTAGTACTAGATGCCAGTAGCACCTGTCCCCCAAGTTGTGATAACCAAAAATGTCTTCAAAAATGCCAAATGTCCCCTGGGGGCAAATCATCTAGGTCATCTGGGGTTGGAAAGCTCCGCTGAGAACAGTGATTCTTAACATGCACACAAGTAATTGCCTACTCACTTCCATTAAGTCGTTGACTCACAGCAACCCCTCCTTGGGTTTCCCAAGCAGTATCTCTATGGAAGTAGATTGCCCAATCTTCCTTCCAAGAAATAGCTAGTGGGTTTGAACCACCAGCCTTCTGGTTACCAAATGCCTTAGGCACTATGCCACCAGAGTTCCCAATAATTGCCTGGGAACCTTACTACAAAGCAGAACCTGATTCTGGAGATCTGGGGTGGGGGCCTGAGATTCAGCATATCTAGCAAGGCCCCACACTGGGTACCGCAGCCCTGGACTAGTGACTTTTCAACCTGGCTAAACATTAAAATCACCTGAGAGCTTAAATGAGTCCCAGGCCTAACTCTCAAGATTCTAATTTAGCAGGTCTGAGACAGAGCTCAGGAACTTCATTTTTAACATGTACAAGGTGAATCTGTACTAGGCTATACACGGTGAACAGCACTAAGCTGTTCATCACTGTTTTACACAATAGCCTGTGCAGATGCTGACAGTGGAACACAACCTCTTCAACCCCAGAATGTCATCTATTGCTCTGAATCATGCTACTACTACTCTTAAAGTGCCCTAACCAGCCACAATAGCACACAAGCATTCAGTAATGATACAGAACATGGCCTATTCTAAAGCAGACACTGTGGAGTATAGGTAGGGAACTTCAAATTACTCAAGATTCAGATCTTAAAAATTAAAATAAAGATGTAAGGCATTTTCTCACATTACTGGTTGGGTATAAACTGGGAGCACCTTTCTGGATGACAATTTATATTAATCAAGACCTTGAAGAGTTTCACTCTGACTCAATGATCCATGTCTGGGAATTATGCTAAGGGAACAGTTCCATTCATAGCTTTATATCAAAGGCATTTATTGTCTCAGAAAATAGCAAACAACTGGAAATTTCCCAAATGAGTAAACATCCCTATCCGGAATACCAGTAAGAACCCCATTACTGAAGACTGTTTAATGATCTAGGAAAAGACTGACAATTTGTCAGGATACAAATCTGTATATACATTTTTCTAATACATCCCCACATACACAAAGTAAAAAACGTGTTAACAATCATTTATTTCTGGGTGACAGGATTGTGCATGACTGATTTCCCTCATCATGCATTTCCCATTTTCTGTGTTGTAAAATAAGGAGCAGTGTCACCGTTATTGATTAGGAAAACAGTTTTTAGAGAATATGAATAGTCTCTGGCCCCTACCCCACCACCTCAACCTGAACTAGGGTCAGTCTGATTTTGTAAACAAATCTTGGAACACTGACATATCAGTTTATTTATGTGTTTTCTGTGGCTCACTGTTGCTACTATGGCAGAGCTAGAAGGGTATGACACAAACCCTAATATAGTTTCTACCAGGCCTGTACAAAACGTCTACATGCCATTGGCTTGCCCCATACTCACCGCTGCCACTCCCTCCTGGGACGGAGCTGGTACTTGAGCAGGCATTCACCCCGCATGGTGGGCACACAGAAGGCAGCACCTTTTCCCTAGAAGAGACAGAAACACACTCCATGGAGAAAAAGAAAGTATAAGAACCAGGCCAATGGGGCTGTCCTGTGATACTACCTGACAGCTGAGGTCAGCAAGTGGGGGGAAGATGTCTGGGTGGATGAGGTTGAGCTGTGTCTGAATCTTCTGACTACGGAGATTGTGAACGGATGAACAGTTCTCATTCAGGATCAAGTGCTGAGTGTCAGGCCCAAACCTAAGACAAAAGACCTGAGGTTTAAAACATGTTTTATGGGACAGTGCATGTAGTGGGCAGCACTGAAGATTAGGAAGTATTCAAAGAGTCAGTGATTAGTCCAAAATTACAGTAATTGAATGACCAAATATAATTCTATTCCTTCTGTCTCTAAACCCAGTGTTCTCCCCACACTTCAGCTATCTTTAGAGATTCTGAAGAGAATTCTGGGTAAAAAAAAAAAAAAAAAACGAAGAAAAACTAAGATGTTTGGGCCTACTGATAATGATTTTAAAACAAAACAAAATGGAGAATGGAGTGGAAAAAGAAAAGGCTTAGTAACAGGAAAGCAGATAATATACCTTAAGACAAACCCTAAAGAACTGGAGGAGGAGGAGAAGAGCTTAAGAGCAAGAGTCTGCCAGGCCTAATGGGGAAAAAGATGAAGGGAGACACGGGGGGAGAAATAAGACAGGAGGTGGATACAACCTGTGCTTGCTCTGTCCCCTAAGCTCAACTCCCAGAATTCCTTCCACCTGATGCTACCCTTGGCCAATGAAGCCAAGAGGGAAAAAGTAAAGTGAATGCTCCTTCCGCTTACTAAATTTTGATAACATATCTACCTCACAGGGTTATTGAGAAGATTAACAAAATGAATTGTCAAGCATTTAAGATACAGCAAGCATTCAGTAAACTGAAGCTATCATTGTATACTGTCAAGTTTCTTCTTTAGGATATACACATAAAGCCATCAACAAAAAGGCAGTATTTGCTCAAATGCTGAGAGTACAGAGTGTCAGTCAGTGTGAAACTGAACCCCTGCCAGAGTCGAGCTGCACACAAAGATTATGAACACACTCTGCCACTTGGGCTTCTATTTCCTCACAAAAGGGGTACAGTACAGATGGATGCTCCCGGACTTCCCAGAAGGCAGTCATCCCAGAGACCTGGGTGGTGGAGAACATTCAGGCATGCACCAAAGGAAGGGTAGATAGCACTTGATTAAACACAGAAGCAAGGAGCAATGGGAACACCTCGCCACCCAGCAGAGTTGCCCTGTGTGTGCTGCTGGGCTGGGTCCATACCTCTCCATCCACTGCTGATATCTACAGTCCAAAAGCACAGATTCTGGGACCATGTGAACCACCAGGGCCACAGGGGCATCGGCATTCCCTTGGTACCTGGAAGGGAGAGTAGGGCCTTGCTTTGTAGAGTGACACAAATTCAAGAAGATACAGAACTTGTGCAGACAGGGACTATGCCAGACTGGGAGGCACACCATTAGCTGTCCCTCCCCAACAGCCTTCAGTAGGCAACCCTACCAGGTGAGCAGTTCTCAGGTCAGAGACTCAGCCTCCTCAGCCTCAGTGCAAAGACATGGCTCCAACCCTCACCTCATCACTGCTCATGGACTGCTGGAGTGGGCTTCTCTCATCCTCAAGACCCCGCCTTACCTCCTGAAGGCAGCATTTTCATAGATGGGTTGTATGAACCCTTCATCCGGACATTCTATCACAACAAAAGCCAGACCGGGATCTGGAGGAGTACAGATCTCTTCAGGCAGTATCTATAAAATTAAATAAGCTGATGTTGGGTCACAGTGCCCTCCCAGTCACAGCTCACCGACCAAATGAGATTGCCTTCCAACCATTATGCTACTTCAGCAAGCTTGAGCAAAACTCACAGTAGCATAAAGCCAGCTTTAAAGACCGTCACCCACACCTTTCCTGTTCTCTTTGTTTATAATTTAGATAAGTAAGCAGCTTGCAGAAGGCAGCAGTGGCTAGAGAGCCAATCTCAGTATTCAAGACTCTTTGGTCAGTGGCCATTGGCCCCAACATCTTAGACACCAGTAAAGAATACAGATAGCATCCCTTTAAGGTGTGTGTCAGTCCATCCTTATGGGATACATTGCTAGACACTGACCTGAGCTCAAGTACAAAGGAAAAAAATCCATTTTATGAGAAGAATGACCATCAGATCCTTAGCACAGAATCTACACAAGTATTCAAAGCAGCCAGGGTAGATGTGCAGGACACACTAAAGAGCCCACTTCATCACTTAGCCAAGTGACAGACAGTCAACATGTTCCACTGCCCCAGAAAGTTGTATGTAGCCTGAACTAGACAGTTAATCTGTGCAGTGTTCTTGGCCCTACCTGTGACTATGGAAACATCATGAAAGAACACCAAGTGCCTCACCTCTCTTCCTTCATAATTAACACTCTTCCCGTCCTTCACAGCAGCAATGATAGGAGCAATGGCAGCGGTCCCCCTGCAATGAAGAGCCAAGTCCTCTGTGAGATGAGGACTTCTGATGAACAAAGGCAAACCCATCTACTCCCCGAAAGCCATGTCCCTGACACTCACACTGGGAGGCCCAGATCCTTTGCTTTGAGCACCAAGAAGTTTCCTTTCTTCAAGTGAAGCTGCAATGGAGAGAATGTTAAGTACAACTTGAATAACTAATGGAGAGGTGTGGTTTTAATCAATTTTCTTAGAAGTGTACTAATCTGTTTATTTTTCCTTATTTTTTTTAAGTTTAAAATGAAGATTATTGGTTTCAAAAGGTGTATTCTGAAGAAGTGATTTATTTTGAAACTGTAGTACTAAAAGCTGAATGACTTAAAATACAGAGCTTTATTTCTCAACATTAACTAGAGTTGTAAATCTAATAAAATGTAATCCATTTCCATATTGAAGTTAGTAATTTGTATCCCTTAAATACTCTTGAGACATAAATCTGTGCTCCATGGGGTTTTCGATGGCTGATTTTTCAGAAGTAAATTGCCAGGCCTTTCTTCCAAGGCGCCTCTGGGTGGACTAGAACTTCCAACCTTTTGGTTAGCAGCCAGGAACATTAACCATTTGTACCACCCAGGGCCTCCCACAGGGTCACCATGAATCAGAATCCATAAAAAATGTTATCAAGTCTTTGAGTGTTGAGATTTTCATTTTCTAAATCTTTATGGACTATTTGCATTTTTGTTCAGATTTCTGAAGCCAGGAAACTATTTCTGGGGCAAGATACCAAATTTGGAAACCAAAGTCGTATTCTCAGGATTCTAGAGTTTTCCATTTGGCAAATATTGTCTTAGAGGAAGGTTAAGTGTGTGTACCTAACAAAAAGATGATAGAGATTAGAAGTGTTCGGCTTCCGGCAAGATGGCAGACTAGGCAGAAGGATTGCAAAGACCCTCTTCAACAAAGAAAAGGGAAACCAATTAACACAGACACAGAAGATAATCTTGGACCCCTGAGCCTTGAAGGGAAGGATACAGAATTGGACTAAACCCCAACTAGCAAAAGAATTTGCATGAAAATACCAAAAAAAGGAGACATACGGAGCTGCGGTCTGACAGCGAACTGAGTGACCCTGACAGTACAGGCGGCTCGGAGATTCCTGACTGGTGGTAGGATGTAAGAATTAACCTAAAAATCACACTGCTAACCAGGGACTGCATGGACTGTGCACAGAGGCTGTGGAACAAACGGAGAAAGTGAAGACAAAGGCGGGCTGAGCTGTGCACTTTTCCCAGTCCAAAGGATGCCGCCATTTTGTAGGTTTAAAAAGTGGTGTGACCATTTTGAATATTTAAAGAGACAGCATTCTCGCAGATTCCTGTGGTGGTAGGACTTAAGAATTAACCTAAAAATCATACGGCTAGCCAGGGACTGCACGTTCTGTGCACAGTGGCTGGGGAACAAACGGAGAAGGTGAAGAGAAAGGTGAGCTGAGCTGTGGACTTTTGCCGGGCCGGAGGGTGCCACCATTTTGAAGGTTTAAAAGCAGCTTGACTATTTTGGATATTTAAAGAGACAGTGCTCTGGCAGATTTCTGGGGCTTAAGAACACGCTCTGCTTTCCAGCAACCCCAAGGACGCACGGGGCCTGCAAGACTGAAAAGGTATGACATTCTTCTTGTTACTACACCCTATACCTGCTTGGTGAATGG